CAAATGGGAAGAAGTGTAAGACATAGGGAAGGGATTCAAAAAACGGGGAAGCGACGGGACCTGGGAGCTAGGCCCGCCGAGACCAATGAGTTGTTTAAGTTGGAACTGTCATGGACTCGGCAATCCCGCGACAGTTCAAGCTTTGGTGAACTTAGTTCACTTGAAGAAGCCGGCTATTGTCTTTTTAATGGAGAATTTTTCAAAAAAATTAAGAGTGGAATCAGTGATGAGAAAGGTTGGGTTGCATTTCTGCTTTGTGGTGGACAGTGAAAGACACAGGGGCGGTTTAGCTTTACTTTGGAGGGAAGGAATTCAGGTTCATATTCGTGATTCCTCTCTTCATTTTATTGATGCTAGTATTCAATTGGAGAGTGATGACCCAATTTGGTGTTTCATTGGTTTCTATGGGTGCCCTGAGCGTATTAGAAGGATAGAATCATGGAATCGGTTGAAATCCTTAAATTCTGAACCCCATCTTCCGGGGTTGGTAATGGGAGATTTTAATGATTTAATTGTGGCTTCCAATAAACGGGGACGGGTGCCTCATCCGCCTTGGCTACTCAAGGGATTCCGGGAAGCGGTCTGGGCTTGTGGGCTACAAAACTTTCCCTTTCAAGGCTACCAATATAGTTGGGAGCGATGGCAAGGGTCTCCGAACTAGCTGGAGGAGAAACTTGATAAAATTCTTGTTTCGGAAGACTGGCTCGACATTTTTGGGGGAGCTGCGGCTGAGTCATTAGAGGGGGCGCCAAGCAATCATTTAGCTTTAATTTGTTTATGAAATTAATCCCATCCCAGAAATTTCATGGGCGGAGCAGATTCAAGTTTGAGAACTTTTGGCTTAGAGGCGAGGATTATCGGTCAATTGTGGTTAGAAGTTGGGATCTGGGAGCCCATGGTGGCATTATGGGGCAAATTGCTTCTTGTTGTAAGTCGGTTGGGGAATGGGGGCGTACAGCAGCCGGTTCCCTGGGAAAAGAATTCAATTTTGTCGAAGACGCCTTGAGTATCTTAGGAAATTCTCGGATGGTTGGCATGTGAGTATTTTTGAGAGGGTTAAGCAGGAATATCTGGACCTCCTTGAGCAGGAAAATATCTTTTGGAGATAGAGGGCGAAATAATTCTGGTTGAAAGGTGGTGACCTTAATACTCGGTACTTTCATAATTCGGTGAAACAGAGACGGAGGAAAAATCGAGTAGAGGGTTTTCGCTTAGATGGAGGCGGATGGGAGACTGATAGGGCAGAAGTCGGACACCTTATCGGTGATTATTTTGCTAATATTTTTTCTTCAGTTAATATTTCAGGTGAGTTTATTTTCCATTGAGTTTATTTCAGGGGTGAAGAAGTCAAGGCAACGGTGTTTGATATGTACCCGGACAAGTCTCCTGGCCCGGATGGTTTAAGTCCGGGATTTTTTCAGCATTATTGGGACGTGGTGGGACCGGATGTTATTAAGTTCTGCTATGAGGCTTTTCGGTCAGGTAAACTTCCGGATAGAATTAATCACACTAATATAGTTTTAATTCTTAAGAAGGATAATCCAGAAGTTATTGGCCATTAGCAACCCATTGCTCTTTGCAATGTCATTTATAAGATTTTTTCGAAGGTGTTAGCTAATAGACTGAAAAGCGTTCTTGACTTGTGTATTTCCGAGCAACAAAGTGCATTCATTCCGGGCAGATCCATTATCGATAACATCATGATAGCATTTGAAACTCAGCATTTTCTAAAACGTAAAACTCAAGGGAATACAGGTTTTGTTAGTCTTAAGTTGGATATGAGCAAGGCCTATGACAGAGTCGAATGGCCTTTTTTAGAAGGCATGTTGCTTCATATGGGGTTTGATATCCGTTGGGTTAATTTGGTGATGGAATGTGTCTCTTCTGTCTCTTACTCGATTCCTTTTGATGACACGGATTTGGGGCCTATTATTCCGACACGTGGATTAAGATAGGGTGACCCTTTATCACCTTATTTATTTATTTTGGTTACAAAAGGATTGAGTTCTTTATTAAAAGATCATGAAAGGGCGGGGTGGTTGCATGGAGTAGCGGTGGCTCGTGGGCCCCCAAGAATTTATCATCTATTTTTTTGCAGATGATAGTTTGCTGTTTTTCAGGGCTACTCATGGTGAAGCTTCTATTGTGAAAGAATCGTTGAATGATTATGCGCTTGCATCAGGGTAGGTAATTAATTTGAGCAAGTCTAAACTTTTTTTCAGTACGAATCTTCCGGTGGGTTGTAGAGAAGGGTTAAAAGAGTTATTGGGTGTTAGTTTGGCTGGCGGTGAGGAGAGGTATTTGGGTTTACCGGCTATCGTTGGGCGGAATAAAAGGGGTATTTTAGCCTATTAACGCCAAAAAATGGTTAATCGCATTCACAGTTGGAATAATCGTTTTTTGTCTAAGGCAGGTAAGGAGGTTTTACTTAAATCTGTCATTCAAGCTATGCCTACTTATGCAATGAATGTTTTCCTTCTGCCTAAGGAGTTGTGCAAAGAAATTGAAACCTTAATGAATGGGTATTTGTGGCAGGGGAAGTCTGGGAAGGGCATTCGGTGGAAGAATTGGGATTTTATGTGCCGGCCAAAAAATGAGGGAGGTATGGGGTTTAAAAAAATCCGGGAATTTAATTTGTCTATGCTAGCCAAACAAGCTTGGAAAATCTTTTCGGAGCTAGATTCTCTTGTTGGGAAAGTTTATAAAGCCCGATATTTCAGGGATAGAAATTTTTTGACTGCTAAGTGGGGTAATAATCCTTCTTTTATTTGGCAGAGTATTTTTCATACCCAGGATATTATCAGACAAGGTTATTGCTGGAGAATTGGTAATGGTAAGGATATAAACATTTGGACTGAGCCTTGGCTTCCGTATAAAAATCAGCCTAGAGTGGAGTCGGCTCCTCTTCAGGGTTTGGAAGAAGCTCGGGTTGGAAGTCTTATGAGTGAAGGAGCAAAGGTGTGGGATATGGATCTCTTGAAAGACATCTTTGAGTAGCGTGATTCCAATCTCATTCAATGAATTCCTTTGAGCTTAGGGATGTATCTGACAAGTGGTGCTGGAGGTGGGAGTCTTCTGGGCATTTCTCGGTGCGCAGCTGTTACAGGGCCATAGTGGGAGAGGTGGAGAGGGGTGCTTGGATCGGATGGAATCATATGTGGCGGTGGAAATTACCCCCGAAGGTAAAGCAATTCTTTTGGCAGGCGTGTTGTGGTCTGTTACTGGCGAAGGATAATCTAAGGTTGCGAAAGGTTAACTGTGATGATAGGTGTGGATTGTGCGGGTCGGAGGCTGAATCTCTACTCCAATTATTTTTCTCATGCTCAGTGGCACAAGAAGCTTGGCGTTCTATAGGCTGGAGCTGGGTGGTTACTACTGGTCATTCTTTTTTGGAACAGGTTCAAGGCGAGTTTCAGGCTAACAATGTTGATACTTTATGCAAGCTGATATGGGGATGTTGGGGCCTGTGGTGTGAGCGGAATAACAGGATTTAGAACGGGGTTAAAGTTGATCCGAAGCAAGTCATGACAAGGACTCGAGTTTATGTGGAGGGTGGGGGTTAGCTCAGCAAGATGCTGGCGATCTGCAAGGTCAGGGCAGGTCTGTTGCTTCGGCCTGGAGAAGACCGAATCCTGGTAGATTTAAGCTGAATGTGGACGCTACTGTTAGAGTTGATAGGTGCGGTTTTGGGTAGGTTATTAGAGACAATGTTGGGGCCTTTGTTGAAGGTGTTTCGAAGGTCTAGAAGGGCGTGCTATCTCCTCTTGAAGCTGAATTGATGGTGATACGCGAGGCCTTGAGCTGGGTTAAAAGCAAAGGGTGGGATCGTGTGGAAGTAGAGTCTGATTCGTCCGGAGCTGTTTTGGAGATCTCGAAGGAGTCGCGTGTCTCCTTGGCAGGGGTTATTGGTGGTGATATTAGAGAGATAAAATCTTTTTTCATTGATATCTCTTTTTCTCATGTCAAGCGATCACCGAACAGCGTGGCACACGAATTGTCTAAAGCTGCTTGTTCTTTGCCTGATTGTATTTGTTGGAGCGGGTCTCCTCCTAATTTTTTATTCCATGTACTCAACGATGATGCTTTGAATGAAAGTTAATTGTTTTCTCTTCAAAAAAAATAGTATACCAAGACCAAATTTTGAATTAGTCCTATATGGTTTCACTCTGAATTCTTTTCATTCTTCCACCATTCTAAATTTCAACCGATGAGATCACACTTAAGTTATATTTTAATATATAATATACTTCTAATATGTCAAATCAGAAAATGTCTCATCAATCCTTTGGTGAGGATATCAGATGAGATTCTAATATACTCTCTCCGTTCCGCTAAGATTGTTTTATTTTACCTTTTCAATTCGTCCCACTAAGATTGTCATATACCAAATTTGGTAAAGTTTGTGACTTTGTATGTCTCTAAATCATTCTTACTTTATTAACTCAATCACATAAACCACTTGTCTCATTGCTAGTGGAACAGAGGGAATACCAATTTCAACATGACTACAAATATCTAGTCCAAATAAGTGAAAATGTCCTAGCCTTGAAAATGCTTATTTATGATTTTGCCCTTCGATTAATTTTGAAATTCATTATATATCTTTTCAGGTATTGGCGCAGAATATTTTCATTTAAATTGAAATTTTCTTATTGGATATGATATATTTACACAGATTAGTCAGTAAATATGATTTTATGCATATACTATTACTACCTTTGTCCCATTAGAAGGTTCCCGTCCACTATTCACATGGTCAACTTAAACCTTTTTTAATCTTTTACTTCATATATCAAATTTTTATCAAATTTACATTTTTTTATCAGGCTTTGTAGCGGCTTTAATATAGTTTCTGAATATGTAAATTTTATTTATTAAAAATAATCAGAGTGTGAACAGATATTAAGTTATTTTATTGTCAGTCAAATATCGTAAACCGTTCACGGGAACCTTTTAGTGGGACGGAGGGAGTATCATTTAAGTTTAACCAAATATGATCTCATCTTATCGGAGATTGAAATTAATCGAGGAGAAACATCCTTATTTTTTTGGAAGAAAGAGAAAATTAAATAAACCAAAAATAATTGAGGGTTACAGTACTAATAATGACAAATTAAATAATTCGTAACTTCACAATCTTAATTGCGTGTTACATAAAAAAATCGGCCAATCGCAATAGATAAAAAATGTTTTGACGGGCGCGGAGGTTAAAAAAATGTATTGAAGATAAAAAAATTCAGAATAACTAAAAACAAAAAAAAATGTACACATTTAATTTAGAGGGCTGATGAGCTGGACCATGGACGCGACCATCCGCCACCGGCTAACCAGGCTGTACTTCGGCTCCGGCTTGGCTTAGCAAAAAGCTAGCTAGCAGCTCAGTGACTTCTGCAGGTAGGAAATGATGATCAAGAAAGCGTCAACGGCGCAGGGGATAGTGAGGCCGCCGGTGGGATGCTGGAAGCCGTACTCCTCCTCGGCTCGGCTCAACAGCTCCTGGAACATGGGATGTTTGAGGTACGAGATCGGAACCACGAACCGCTGCTGCCTCTCTCCGACGTAAACGGCTAAGTGACCTCTGGGGACGTCTCCGCCGCCGCCGCCGCCTTTTGATCGAACTATGTGCTTAGCAACATTAAAAACTGTCTGCAAATTAATCCCCATTATGTTACGTATATATTTAATAAAACGAAACTAAGTGCGCTAGCTATAGCTTTGGAGGTTTTGTATATATATATACTCCACCAATTATGGAGGGTGTACAATTTGGCGGAAGTTTCGGGTGATTGAAATACTCCGATCCGTATGGGAGTATAATAACGGAATTGAATAATGATGAAGTCACTCAGTCAAGTCACTTGTATATTTATAGGATCCTCTCACTCTAAAAATACTCCGCAAGTCGCAACTCTTTTTTTTATAGTTATATTTTTTAACTTTTGATAATTCAGATGTCCACATAATCCCGATGTCTATGAATTATCCTTTAAAATTCCTAGAGAGGTAAATTCAGATTTGATCACAGTTAGCCTTGTCGATACTGGTTCCAAAGGATGAATCCAACAGCTGGACCGGTCTGATCTGTTTAAATGTGGTCTGATCTGTTTAAATCTGATCTTGTTTGATCTGGTCTAAGACTGAAACTAGTCTGAGTAAAAAAATCATTACATCATTTGCTCCTTCCAAACTACTCATGTTGCCTTCACAACCATCATCTCCCTTTTCAGGAGCTCAGCTACTCCGTGAATGTAGGGAGAATCGTGAGGAGTCATTCCTTTCTTATCTCCCCTAGGTGGGATCAGTGGCGGATCTATGAATTCAGCTATGAGTGTTCATTTTTTCTATATTTAAAATTTAAAAAGAAAATAAACAATAAAACTAAATTCATACATATATACGAGACTGAAACGTAGAGCTCAACCATGAGAGAGAAACTCTCACATCTCTCTAAAATTCCTTCAACCTAATTTCGGGAATGGATTACCGGCACCAACCACGCCGCCGGAATCCCTATTTTCATCCTTTATACCACCAATTTGAGCCCTTTCGTCCACCTCAATCTCAACCACGAATCTTCACTGGGGTACATAAGAGGAGGCACCCACACCAGAGGCACCCACACCAGGAATACCATACGAACTATGGGCAAAGTCACCATAATCATAGAGCAGCATGTGAGCCTGAAATGGAGGCACTTTTCAATCACTCCTACAATCCACAATCTCAATACTCCAACCAACAATGGTACCTACAGATTGAATGCCCAGAATGGCACCCAAATCATCACCCGGAACTCACAAACCAATTCCACGCACCGTCCGATTACAACACAAAGGACCCGGAAGTTTCTTGGTACACCGTCCAGAACACACGTCGACGCCGCCGCTCTTTTCACCCCCAAAATCAGCGAATCTGGACCAACAACTGGCGGTACACTGGTACGTCCAATCGATTTCTCCTATTAGATCAGGAAGATGACTCTTCGAACCTTCCCCTACAACCACAATCCTTTAATAGGGAAAATCTCTACTCCCAAAGTTTCTTGAAAAAAGAGACACGCCGAATTCCTATCGGCACAAAAATACAGTCCGGCCATTGGAGACGGAAAGGGAGTCACGCTAGACCCCTAATAAGAAAATCAATTATTCTAGATGACCGAAGAAACTATTTGGGAAGCCCGGCATCTCCATTACAGCCCAATTTGGCTTATAGGCATGCTACACATGTTGTCGCTTCGGGAAAAAAGGCACTCAATTCTCAGGGGGCCGTCGGGAAGGACAGAGCCGTACTGGTAGTACCGGAGAGTCTAGGTCGAACACTAGGGAAGCGACCGTCCTCTATACCTAATGACGGAGCTGTTGATCAGCCGGAGATACTCACAGCGAAGATCTCTTCATTGGCAATGCAGGGGCCAGCAATCGATAAACGAGCAGACAGTCTGTCAGGAACGGAGGCTAATATGACAGGTGCTGTACGCAGACTCACATGGGCTGAAATTGTGAGGTGTGAAACGGCCAACTTTGGAGACAAGGCCAGTACCTCTACTGAAAGCGTGGGTCCATCCCCACAAAATAAAGAAAAGCAAATTATTATTTTCAAGGATACTTATATTGACGCTCACAATGATCGGACCGTTCCTCTACATGCAACGTCAGATGATTCGGTGGACTCTGAAAAATTCCAATTTTTTGGAGAAGAAGGCTTTGATTCAATCAAAATTGAATCCAAAATCTTCAGATTTGCTGCTAGAAATAATGAAATTGAAATTTTTGAGATGCAAAAATCCTCTCTAAGAAGGATTAATTTCAGAACAGATCTTGCTCTTCCGATCGTCCGTTTTATCCACCAACTCACAGGCACAAATATTTTTAAACACAAGCAGAGCAAAACATTCGGGTCAATCACAGTCGCTGCCGAGTTCAACAAATCAGGCCCTTATCTGAAGATTGCTAAGGAGAATGGGACCTCAATTTCAGTCCCGATGGGCCCACAGAAATGCAATCTCAAAAATTTTTTGACTTTATTTTCTAATTTTGCAGAATTACCTTATCTAGTGCGGGAGGAAATCATGGATTGGGAGCATGACACTTTGGGTGACTATGAGGAAATCACCATCTCCAAACTTATCTTTAACTTTGAAATTCAGAGAGCCTTTGGCGAGAAACAACAACCCTTATCATTTGAGAAACAACCACAAATCCCACTCCTTCAGGCTTATTCTGATGCCTCAGACAGCTTTGATTATTCAGATGACTCTTTCTATTCAGACGATTTTCTTGGACATGCAACAGAAAGCGATCGTCGTCCCCCTTTATCAAATCCGGAAGAAATTAAGAAGTCTAAATTCAACAGAACAATTTGCCGTAAATCGAAGTTGGTCACCTCTGGAAACTGTCTGCCAACAGAAAATCTGAACACCCAACTTAAAATCTATAGAAAATCTCAGAAGAATAAAAGGCGACATAGCATGACGACCAGATCACAGTCCAGAGATTTTCCTTGGGTCTAGTCTTGTCCTTACTTTTTTTTTTTAAATGTATTTTTGACTTTTTTTTTTGTGTCTTCTAGCATTGTAATTTTATTTTGTCATGAATTAAAAAAAAAAAAATGAGTATGGATCAAAAAAAAAAAAAAATTCATACATATATACTAAGATATTTTTCAAAATTCTAGGTGTTCATGAGAACACCTTTGAACTAAAGTGGCTCCGCCACTAGGTGGGATTGAACCCAAAACCTCTCACAAAGGAGATATTTGATAGTTGATGGCCATCCATTGGACTACACCACCTTTCCAATTATATATTTTTCATTTTTTTTATTCTATATTGCTTTTGCTCAATTTTAGTTTCGTTATAAGTTTTCATTGTCTTATACAAAACGACTTGGTGTGAATAAGACATTATGAAAGTTCAAAATTTTAGTTAATCTCAATTGGTAGTCTAGGAAGGGGCATTTGATAAATTATACGGAGTACGTAGTACGTATATATAAAGATAATGAATCAGATGTAAATATAGTACTCCCTCCGTCCCTATTATATCTTCCAAATAGGTTTGGCGCGGAGTTTAAGATAATGTGTATTGTGTGGTGGAGAGTTGTGCAGAGGAGAGAGAAATGTGTAAGAATTGCTGTGAACCACAAATTCTGGCCAAAAAAGGAAAGTGGAAGTTTTAATTGGGACGGACGAAAAAGGAAAGTTGGAAGTTTATTTAGGGACGGAGGGAGTACATTTGATAAGTTAACTCCGTACTCCGTAGTTCATTTGAAAGACAAATTGTACGGAGTATTTGACAACAATATAGGTAATGACAACTGATGCAGATGTAAATACTGAATACAAACCTATTGACGTGGATCCTGATAATGACATCCAACTAGGCAGAAAATGAATGTTTATTTAATTTTGTCTAAATGTAACCTAGTGACACTCAAGAAGGTCATATCATTTCTTCCAATATAAAAGACATACTTTTTTTTTGGATTCTCTCGGTAGAAAAGGCCCATTTCCCCTTTTTACAAACAAAACAATATAAAACTGTGCAAAAACAATGCTAAATAGTGTCCAGACAGTATCAAACAATGTTTCTTGAAAAGATGCATGCAATTCAATATGTGTCTTTTATATAGGGATGAAGAGAGTATATATTTTAAAGGAGTGAAGAGTCAGTTTGGTCCTCGAAGTTGCAAAAAAGGCGTCAAATAAGTCCTTATATAGAAGATTCTGTCCGGACGTGCCATTTGAGCTGGCTCCCAGTGGAATTTTGTGATAAATTTGTTTGAGCATCTTATTCATTAAGTCTAGTTTACTCATACCAAATTTCAGCTAAAAATTCAATCGGGAAGACATTCAAATGAATTCTTGAAGATAATAGCGCTTTTAACGGCACAGTTATCTTCAAGAATTCATTTGAATGTTTTCCGGATTAAATTTTTATCTGAAATTTGGTATGAGTAAACTAGACTTAATGAATAAGATGCTCAAAAAATTTCATCAAAAAATTCCACCGGGAGCCACCTCAAATGGCACGTCCGGACAAAATCTTCTATATAAGGACTTATTTGACCCCTTTTTTGCAACTTCGAGTACCAAACTGACCTTTATCCCTATTTTAAAGCAATAATTGTGTGAAATGTTTAATTCTCCCATCATAAATATAAATTACGGATCTCATATTCATAATTTCATATTATACTTAAATCAAAATTGTATCAGTGAATTACTTACACTGTACTTGGTCTGATTTAATAGGTAATTAACTGGGTAAATTCCATGCTTTTAAACGTATCTACATGCACACAAATGGACTATTCGCGTGCTATGTGCTAACCATTTCGAATCTTTTATTTCCAAATTCTTATCCTTAAATATGAAACATATATTGGCCGGGGAAGGACGCAAAAAATACATTCAATAATTTTATAAATTTTTGCATTAATGTTGTCACAATGTCACATAAAAATTAGCCATCTATTGCTGAAATTGAGGTGGGCCTGACATGAGTTGAATTAGCACCGGCCCGTGGTGGCATGGAATAATGAAATAATGACGGCTCACTTATTCACCCAAAAGGTGGAATCTCCCATCCCAAGAGCCCCCACCCCGACCCGTCAGGATGGTGGGGGGTTAGTCACAGTGACTCGGTCAGCAAGTATCGGTAGGCTCGTACGCATTATACACCCGTACGCACCAGAGCCCCAGACCTATTTCAGGTTATGTGACATCCACCTGGTCGCTGTGGGGATTCGAACCTCGGTCCATTGATCCAAATCTCCCACCACGTACTCGATCAACTGAGCTACCCGTGCGGGTGATGACACACTCAAATACGTAATAAGGAGCTGAGTATATACGGAGTATATAATAAGATCATAGCAGGGCCGACTTGAGGATTAGAGAGACCCTAGACAAAAAATACCAAGTATTGAGTCCATCATAATCTATGTATAAGCATCATTTCATAGGCCGGTCAAACAATTTTATAATCAAATCTCTACACATATATTTATTATTTTCTCTTTGCATATACAAACAAAAATTTCCGTATATTAGTCGTAACAAGACCTGCATATGTATTAAAAATTTCACAAATAAAACAATAACAAAAAGGCTGAAATTTTAAAAGTCATAAATCAAAATAAATGGCTGTTATAAGCTCAAATTAAGTAAATACCGACTTTTATTTTTACAAACCAAATTTTTGTAGAGTTCTTTTCTTGAAAATAGAGACAATTTTTGTGCATCTTATACTATGTAACACATTGTTACAAAATTTGAACTTAGAGGAAATTAAAACTACTTTCGTTGGAGAGCAACAAAATCAGAGGCCGTTTGGCAACACTATTTTTTGTCTTATCAGGCTTACCAGCCAACTTTTTCACCAAACACGTAATTTTTGCTTTCACGCGCTGAATTGTGTAATAAGCAGAAAAAATAAGGTTGGAGTTACTTTTCTGGTTGTATTGGTTGAAGTTACTGTAGATGACCATTTTAGCTATTTTTACATATATTTTTTTTTATTTTATTAATAAAATATATTTTAAAGATAATTTTTTCTTAAATTAGTAGAATCAGCCAATGCAGCCGCTTCAGCCAAAACTTCATAAATTTCAGCAGAATAAGTCAAAACAGCCAATTTTCGTGCTACCAAACGGGCTCTCAATGTGTTATTATAAAAAATAAGGACGGCCATATTTCATTAATAACGGCAACGTAAGGTAGCAATAAGATACGTATAATGGTCCCCTCTCTCAATTTTTACTCTGTTATGGATTGAGATAGTGGAGTAAAGTACAACCAGTCTATGATCTTTGCTTAAGAATTTACAAGGAGATCAATATGCCGATATAACTCTTCTAACTCTTAAGAATTTTGGAATATCATCATTGGTTAATACTACTTCGTAATTACTGAGCAATTTTTTAAAGGTAGATTCTAGGGCTGGGACCGGTTCGGTTCTTACTCAAAATGAGTGGAACCGTTATAAAATTTTTAACTAATGAAATCGGTTCGGTTCCTATATAAAAAATCAGGAACCGTTATGGAACCGAACCGGTAGTAAACGGTTCGGTTCTTCCTTTTACCGGTTCTTAGAATAATTTTTTCTCGTCTAAGAATTAACACATAATTTTAAACACGTCGAAAATTCAAAACACGAGTATTAAAATTTTATTTGAAGCTCTATTTACTTCAAACATTAAAGCTCAAACTTAACTAATGAACTTTGAACACTTAATAGAACAAAAGTGATTTAAATTTTCATGTAATAAATGAAACATTAAAAATCGTTGTAGTGTCAGAGCGATGAAGGTTACTCGTCATCATAGTAGCAAGAATAGGATGTCTACTTCAAGTCTTTCAAAACATTAAAAAAAAGACATTGAGTTTGCATGTATAGATATAAAAAATATTATCACATTCTATTGATTCATAATAAATCTAATAATTAAAAATATTATAAAAATAGTAAAGTAAAATATGTGCAATCAACTACAAGTTATTTGGGTTATTTTATATTTATAAAATTTATGTGATGGAACAAAACTTGATTTGTAGAAAGGAGTTTAATGTATATATCAACCTCATGTACAATATTTATTACTTCTTTTCCGTTGATTAAATTAGAATTGTTAGTTAAATATCTTATTTTATTTTATTATTGTTGTTGTTGTTGTGGTTATTATTGCTATTATATTATTATTGTTATTGTTACTACTACTACTACTAATATTATTTTATTTTTTATTTTTTTAATAACGGTTCCTTAACGGTTCCATGCACATATTTTTTATAGGAACCGGGAACCGAACCGTTATAACCCGCTTCGGTTCGGTTCCTACAAATGAGGCATTAATTGTTAACGGTTCGGTTCCTAGATGTTGTTAACGGTTCGGTTCCAATCGGTTCTACGGTTCCCGGTTCCAAAATCCCACCCCTAGTAGATTCTACGGTACCCTTAAGGTACCATACCTTTGTATACATGGACCAATAGGAATGATGCAGTTGATCGAATTAATTAAATCTAAATTAAAAGGAATAGAATGATTTGGACCAATCAAATGCATGATAGGTACGGTACCCTAATTCTTAAAAGGGTACCGGAGTTGTCACCTTTTTTAAAATATGAGGCCCTTTGGAAACATGAGGCACTAGGCAGCCTTGGGAAACTCCCCATAAGGCCGGCTCTGGATCAGAGGAATGAAGAAGCGATCCAACTCAACGGGTGTTGACATACTCTACTCAAAGGAAGCTTCCGTCTTTACCTCAAACTCCCATAGCCCCGATTCATTTGGGGTAAAACCCCTTTAATTTTTAGTACTAGTATATTTGGATCCAAAATAGGTCAACAATTGCCCCTTCCCACATTAGTTAGTAAACTAATTGCCTTATTGTGTATCTCTATAGAGGTGGACAAAATGCCGAATAAAATCCTATTGTAGGCTCACGATTCACGAATCATATGTTGTACTTAGCAGGATATTATGGATATCAAATGATATACTCCGTAGAAGTTAATTCAATACATCCTATATGTTATGTTTAACGATGCAGACAAGGTCTGGTTCATGCCAACTTTTTTTTAGTAATATACATTTTTGTTTATTTTCAAGTTTATAAACTAAAATAAACGCGGCACTTCTCTTGTGAATGACCATGGAAATATCAATTTATCATCCAGGGACGACGCAAAGAGATCTTGCTCCCATTAATGTACATTCTCTACAATGTTCACTGAGATAAAAACACGAATCAAAATTTATTTCTTAATAGAAAATAACACTTAGTGATGTTAATTAATTAAAATATACTAGTACTATACTAATGT